CGCGGTGGTCCTCGGCCACGACCTCTACCATTGCCTCGTCCGGAATTAGTGAAAAGAGCATTATGAATGTCAACAGACGAAGTAGAGCCGGAGTCACCCAGAGATAACTTCTTCTCAAAAGATAAGTTCAATTCTTCGGACAGCAACCAAGAGGAGACCTGATTAAACGTGACAGTGGCAATATTGGTGCGAATATTTTGCTTGAGGGAGGCATAGTCAGCCGGTAGACCACGAAGAACACAGAGAATAACATCTTGTTCAGAAATTTCTTCATGAGCCAGTTTGAGAGACGACACAATCGTGAGAACAGTGTCCAAATAAGATTGCATCGAATCGGTCCCTTTTGTAACACCATGTAATCGCTCCTTCAGTTGAAAAATATGAGTTCGGGAAAGAGAATTGTACCGTTGTTCTAGATGATTTCAGATTGCAGCCGAGGTGGGAAGAGCATGAATATGTGTTTGAACCGTGGGTGAGACAATAGCAAGGAGACAGGCCCGAATCTGAGCATCAATAATATTCCAGGATTCATAGGCCAGATTTGGTTTCATGACCGACGGTTGATCCTTGCCGGGTGCCGCAGCCTTCTCATCAAGGACAAAAGACGGAGGAGACGATTCAGACCCATCCACGTAGCCGAGAAGACGATGAGCGAGGAGATTGGCACGGACGGTAGCCGACCAAGAGGGATAATTGGTGTCATCAAGCTTGACCGGGGTTAGGGATTGGAGATTCTGGACAAACAACTTGAGACCCGTAGGAAGACGATCCATAGGATCAGACGAGGTAGAAACCATGGCTGTGCACGGCGTGATCGGCAGTGGAGAGATCGGCTCTGCCGATTTTTTTTTCGGTGATTAGCGCAGGAAAGGAAGAGAGAGGTTAGGATCTTTGTGCTCCGATACCATGTTGATTTAATAATCCAACTCAACTGAATAATTGTATACATGGGTGTTTATATAGGTGAGAATCCCTACATGAATTAGGATTCACCAAATATGGAAACTAACATAAATAACAATTCTACCATAACTACACTTCTTGCCATATATGCCTAACATTTACTATTCTTCGATCATCTTAGAATCATCTTCACAAGTTGACTTGCTACGATCATGAAGTAAAATCGTATGGTTCTCGTCAGTTTAGAACTCCGAGGTGAACAATATCGACTCAAAAAAAATTTCTCGATGCAATTTTTAAATATGTAATATTTT